GAGACATTCCTTTAGCATTCCACTGGAGGATCTGAAGACGTTGTGATTCCTGCGAGGGCGATTTTTCTTATAGCCTTTTTCAAAGCTAATAAGGGCGATTTCTCTTATAGCCTTTTTTCAATCTAATCATAATGGATTTTTCTTATAGCCTTTTTTAACGCTAATCATAATAAATCGAAGTCAAAACGAATGCCGAGTGTAATCGAAGTCAAAACTACATTGTGATTCGCCCTGACGAGAGCAATTTCTCTTATAGCCTTTTTTAAAGCTAATCATAATTAATCGAAGTCAAAAACGAATGTTCAAAGCTAATCATAATTAATCGAAGTCAAAAACGTATGGGATAGACTTTTTTGCCGTAAGAAAATACGTTGTCCAGGGTCAGATTTTTTGCCGTAAGAAAATACGTTGTCCAGGGTGCACATTGACTTTTTGCCGTAAGAAAATACGTTGTCCAGGGTGCACCTCGAGTGATAGACATTTTTGCCGTAAGAAAATACGTTGTCCAGGGTGCACCACATGGAGGTAAGTCTATCGCGCACCCCATGAACAAACTAATAGTGTGAAATAAGCATGCAATATGATATGCCTATAAAAATTCTTGAAATGACTTGGATATCACAATAAACATCAAGCCACTCTACTAGTATAAACTACCAGGATGAGGTTGAGCATTATGGATAAAAATGCATTTTATAAATAGCAGAATATAATACAAATGGCATTCAGATTTATTGGGATAAGTTAATGCCATGAAAACTAAAATAAATTCAAAAATGTCGTTTTAATTCTAATTATCTATAAAAAGATGTTTCATAGAATATAAATCATTAAAATTGAGCTAAATATTATGGTATTACTATGGCATTGTTAGTATATTTCATCTTAAATCTATCTTCATGAGTGGCCTTGATATCCCCGGATTTAGGAATTCCTAGTTTTGCCATGAGTAACGCTGAAAGACGGATTAATGAAGTAATTTCGTAATTAAATATTAAATTTCAGGAATATTGTGCTATTCTAGATAAGTCTTTTCAAGAATTTAAAGTAGAGGCGGTTCAAGGGAACAAAAGACATTTCAAAGCGGTATTAATTGGACCTAAAGACTCTCCCTATGAAAACGGAAAATTCGCCATCGAATTCTTTTATCCAGAAGGGTTCCCTGCGAATCCTCCCAAAGTACGTTTTATAACGAAGATATTTCATCCAAATATCGACTTGCTAGGAAGAGTACACCATGCTATTTTAGGTAAATAAATAGTTATTGAATAATTTATTCATTCATTTAGGACGCTGGACAAAATCTACGACTATGACAGAAATGTTGCTAGCTTTAAGAAGCTTTCTCGGATTTCCCGACCCAACTTATGCACTCGATATGCAAAGAAAAAAAGAATGGGAAAAGGACTTGGACGCGGCACTAAAAAAAGGTTTAGTCTATAATAAATTTTAAATCGGTTTTGTTCGCAAGCATTTAAGACGACACTTTTTTTTTCCTCCAGCCAAAGAGTGGACTAAACAATATGCAACTTGATTAGTGCACTGATATTTTGTGATGAAATTTTTCAACTTTTATGCAACACCAGAAGGAGTACCCATTTTCTAATTTTTCATGATGCAGTTGTCCCTGTTATGTCCTCGATAATAAATAATTGAACTAATTTAAAAGCTTTTATTTGCAAAGTCACCTTGCCACAGCATATCCTTTATTCCATCATGTTGTACAAGAAAGAAATCAAGAGTGGTGAGAATATAGGAGAGAACGAAATCATAACGACGCAACAATTGTACCTATACTTGATGTTACTCGTCGTCTTACTTCACAGCCCTGTATGTTCGCGATGGGAGATAGAGAGAGAGATAAAGAAAGTAGGGAAGGAGAGGAGAGAAGTAGTTAAATGTTTTGCATTGGGAGACCTTGAAGAGGCCATTGGGGTTAGGGTTAGGAGATCACTTCCCATTGGAGGATAGCTGTGTCAGATCCGCCGGCCGAAATGACCCTCGAATCGTCGAAGAGGAAATTGACATTTGTCACATGACTGGAATGACCTCTATAGGATCTTGACTTGCTCTGAAAGGGATGCAATAATCGATTAACTTATTTACTAGAAGTTATCCTAATCTGACCTCATAAGTATGCTACTCAGGTAATGCAACTCAAGGTCAAAAGGTGAAAATTTATTCTTTTTAACTCTTGTGAAATCGGTGGGTAACTTCTTTCCGCTTGAAATGCCCTTACGTGTAGTTTCATGAAAAGTTCAAATAGTTAAAAGTGTTTATAAAAATAGATTATTTTTGGTGACAAATCGCCACTAAATTGTGGGGGATACTGCAAAAAAATCGACTGCAGAGGGGAGAAACCGCAACGAATAGAGTGAAGACGTTTCTTGTAAATGTGGCGTGCCACAAAACTTGATCACTAACTATTCTGATGTCTCTGCACATGCTTATTACGCAATCGGTAGCACGGCCGCACTTTCTAGAATATTCTAGCACATGAGAGGATCCTTTAACCAGACACAGTAGCGTCGAGCACTCTCCATAAAGCTCCTTCTCTTGAACCAAAATTTGCTATTAATACACAAGATCTTGCGATTAAAGGAATTTCGCCAAGTAATGAGTGCGTAGAGATCGTTACCGTTAACAAGGCACAATGCCAAATTTGAATACAATTAATTACCAAGGTCCCCTCTAGGGCAATATATTACCTTTAAAAAACTAGCACTTTTTTAGAGTTATCCTTATCTGGTAAACATTCCCAAAAAAATTCCTTCCATTTACTTCCCTCTACAAAAGATGTACTATGAGTACTAGATTAGTGGATAGTTCAAAGTGACCGAAGATAAGCAAAGCGCAGCCTATAGTACAACCAGAATTGGGGATAATTTGCAAAGCTATGCCTTTATTATGGATAATAATGAGCACGATATTGTATAGATCAAACTGTAAAGCTGACAAGTCAGAAATCACATGATTGGTGCACTTCCAGTGTGTACTCAGCAAAATGCTAGTAGTAGGATTTTCCATAACGAAATATTAACATATCAATTTTGCACCAAGGACAAGTGTGGCAGCCAATCACTTTTGATTGGCTTGCAGCACATTTTATGATTGGCCTACCTGGGGTGTGGGATAGACTTACCTCCTCGTGGTGCATCCTGGGCAACGTATACTCATATGGCAAAAAATTCTATTAACCGGCAGTTGACTTCTCAATTCCAACAACCATCACCCCCCAACTGTATGTCATATTCGACCCCTTTCACAGTAATCATCTTACCCTTTCTCAGCTTTCGTGTCCATCTATCTCTTCACATGTGCGAATTACTCTTCTATTTCCCCTCTTGAATTCTTCTCACTTTGATGTTCCTCCTCCCCTCTGTGAAGCCCGAAGTCAACTAAAGGGCTAATGATAGCTATCAAAACGCCTGCCATTTGTTATAAATAAATGATTGGCCTACCTTAAGTTGACAGGTGGGATATCGGAAGAGATTGACTTGACTGAAATCGTCTGCAGAGGCGAGCAAACGGGTGGAATGGCTGCGACAGACAGCGTTGATGTCTGTACCATCCGAATCGGGCGGCCAAATTCCTGCCACCTCGAAGCCCAAATGACAACTCTGTGTGGCCCAACGCACGTCGCGCATGCTACTCGGTGATGCAATCTGTGGAAGAAAAAGCACATACGCCCCAATTGACACAAAAATAGCAAAAACGTTTATTCGACAAGAGAGGGGGGGGGGGTTAATAACCTGTTTGCAGTTGGATGCGGACCAGAAAAGGAGCTCATAATCGCCCGATACGGAACGTATGCACTGACTATCCTCTGACCAATCCAGATGTAGAACGAAGCTCGAATGACCTGAGCATTTGCCCAATCGGACGTATTTTGTACCCCGAGCTGATACTGAATACACGTAGATGCTGTTATCCCTTCCACCGATTGCTATAAACTGCCCATCTGAAATGACAGAAATCGACAATGGGGATATTGATCGCAGAGTTTGAAAGAGAGAACAAGGAGGCATAGGAGAGACTCATACTAGGAGAGAAAGCGATGCACTGAATGGGTTCATTGCTCTCATGATGAGCTGCAATAACTTGATGGAGGAGAGCGTCAAGGACAATCCATCGTCCTGATGCAGTTCCTACAGCAACCACAGGAACTGAATCGGCAAGGTCATTGTTGTGTCGGCCATTTTGATTGATTGTAGGGGAGGAGGGCCCAATGGGGGGATAGAAAGCGGCACAAGTGAGCTCTTCGGAGAGGTTTTCTGCCCAAACTAGACGACGCGTGAGGGAGTCCCAAAGGAACACGTTGCCATCACGACCAGCAGTCAGAAAATGATGGCTCTGAGGATGTGCGGATAGAGCCCAGAACTCATCTGAGTGACCTTGAACTAAGGGACTGAAGTCCTCGCCTAGTCGACCCTAAAATATGCATTTATAGGGGATAATAACTTTTAAAATCCCCTTCATATTAGGCGGTACAGCATTCTAGAGAGTATAGTGAAATGCTATTTATTTTAAATTTGGTAAGTATAATATTTATTTATTTATTTCAAATGGTAGGCGTTTTGATAGCTATCATTAACCCTTTAGTTGACTTCGGGCTTCACAGAGGGAAGGTCCATCAAAGTCGAGGAAGGGGAGCAGAAGAGCGATTCACGGATGTAAAAGAGGCATACAGACACAAAGGCAGAGAAAAGGTAAGATGAGTACTGTGAAAATGGTCGAATATGACATACAGTGGGGCCATGGTGTTTTGAAGTGAGAAGTCAACTGCCGGTTAATAGACTTTTTTGCCATTAGAGTATACGCTGCCCAGGGTGCACCACGTGGAGGTAAGTCTATCGCACACCTCGGTAAGTAAAATATAACCTACATTTATCCCTTTGTATTTATCACACAATGACTTCTGAAGAACGCAAAGTAACTTATTTGTTATTTACACACAAATTTGACCCGTCCACTTTCCAACTTTTTTTCTCCATCTTCATTCTCGGTCACCATATCATTGGTCTTCTGATTTGGGGACAGGCAGTTGTAATCTGCCAGCTCTATGCCAGAGTCGGCCAGACCATCAAAGTAGCTTTACTGTCGTGATGAAAGCTGCTTTAGGCTAATAATGCTCTATTAAATTTTGTCATGCATATGATGACTGAATATGTCTAGGTGCTCTGGCTATTAACGGCCTAAAAATCAAACATATAGTCGCTGAAAAACCTCGTTTCTGTCGGGGGAGGGGGGGAGAAGGGAGTGTTCAAACATACTCGCAGGATATCGCCCTGAGTTGTGCCGACAATGATCATTTCACCAGGACCCGAAATAAGGGTTCGCACTGGTCCGTACCAGGAGGAGAGCTCAACAGCCATACCAGTGGGATCCAGATTAGTGTCTAATTGGACGATACGACAGTCCTTCCCACCACCCGAGAGCAAATGACCGTCTTTGCTGAAGGTCAGAGCAAAGATGCCTCCCACATGGACTCCCAGCACGGCGTGGCCAATCCTGTTTGATCCTGCGAAGAGAAAAGAAAAGCCCAGTGAAGTGCGGTAGAGAGAGAGAGAGAGAGAGATTGTGAAGAGTTAATTTTATTCAAATTGGAATTATGCCTACTTGCTTGATCCGAAGTAGATTAATAGGCACTTTCTTTAATACAGAAATCTTCACCCCTGCCTGCCGTCTACGCTCAGAAGCTACATTACTGGCCTTTCAAGATTAATTTACTCTGCTACATTACAAATACTCTGGGGTTCCTAGTTTGTTACGTCATAATTACAATAACATTCCACTCCAAGACTTGACTCTAGAGAAGATAACCGACAAAGACCTAGAAGCAAGGGTTCAATCAGCTTGAAGAAAAAGAAGAAGAAGAGCATTCAGGCCATGCTTGGGAAAATATTGGGAAAATATGTTTTTTTTCGTTACAAGCTCCGCTGTCCCAACTGGATAATTTGGCCGTTATATTTGGTTCTAATTTCAACAAAATCTGGCATGCCAAACTATGCTTCATTTCCCAAATAAGTTGTGAGAGCAAAGAATTTAAAGAAATAATTAGTGAAATCTCCCCAAGACATTCTTGTCAATTGACTGCTCATTGTAATTAGACAAAAGCCATCTAGGTGCTATCAATGAATACATAGACACACCTTCAAATTGTTCCTTTTTCCATGTATAATGCACTATGCTAGATGCATACAACCTCCCGAAATCGGTTATAATAAAAAATAATAAGTCAATTAGTAATACCTCTAGTCCAGAGGAATATGTTGCCATTAGAATCTCCAGTGATAAGATCTCCATTCTCCGCAAAGACCATCGAGAGCACGAATTTGGGTTTCTCGTACTTCTACAGTAAGAAGGAAGCTAGTGAAAGCAACGATTTTTTTTGCGGCATGAGAATAGAAGATGGTGACGTGAAAACTTACATCAAAGATGCCCTGTTTCCTGCTTAGACTGTGGTTCTCCATTGTCCAGAAGGCCAAATGACTTTTGCCAATGGTAACTAGGGCGTTCGCATCAATAGGGTTGAAGTCAATCGCGATAACTGGGTCGCCCGATGTCTGAAGGGTTGAAGTGAAGACTAACACAGACTAATTGGCTACCATGCATGTCTGCTATGCCAGAGATTACGAGTTCGATTACCATCGACACACACTGAGAGAATTAAATGATCAGCTGATTTTGGGGATGGCAAACTTCGAACCAATTGCCAGAGAGACTCCAAAACACATTTTTCTCTTTTTCTCCCTCTCTCTCCCTCTAGACTCAAGATGAGCATTCAAAAGGATTTACCTAACTGGGAAATTTATCATGACATTCTCCTTTGTACAACTGCTGTGCCTTCCTACTTAAATAGTCAAAAGTAACCACCAAATCGACGATAAAATACAATGAGCAAACCGATTTTAAATAAGAATGTGGATTATAAAAAAGCTACTTGTCAAGGAAATCCAAGTACCTGAGGAAGATCTGTTCAAAGAGCAGTTCTCCGAGGCCTCAAACCTGATCAATATGCTGATAAAAGCTACAAGTAGTGGTAAACGATGCTGGTTCTCATAGAATTCTCGCTGCTTGAGCAGAGCTTGAGGAAAGAGATGATCAGGAAAAAAAAGGTGAGGCGAGTTAAAATGTGTCAGTGAAAATAAGAGAGAGAGAGAGAGGGAGTGGGTGAGGGGAAGATCGCTACAAATCGACTTGAGGAATACGCCTTATGGACGCGGCATTGGAGAGCTTGCTTTCCAGTAGCAATCAGAGTTGAAACAAATGCAGGATAGAATCACTTGGTTGCCGACAACGCGAGAACAACATGAACTACAACTTTCTAGAATGGGGCTAATTCGATAGTCACTGGGTGAGTCATCTGCTTCCAGTAAAATTGGTTGGGATACACGTTCACGCCCAAGACCAATTCACAGCCAAGCCTCTCTCCCCACATCCTCTCCCTCTCTTTCGTTCTCACAACTACCAAACTACCGCAGCAAAATGCGGTTCATCTTCTACACACAACCACTGGTCATTACAAGGTTGAGAGATTGGCGCTGTTGTGTATAGGGAATTAAACAACAAAGATTCCAACCAGTCCACGCCTTGGCTGGATCACACCTTGATGCATTGTGGCAATTACCACTGTCTGGAGAGACAAGCGAGAAATTCAGTCCCATTCAAATTATCGTGTTTCGAAGAGACACCACAGGCACCACCAAAGGGTTTCGATTGTTAGAAGAGGGGAGGGGGGTGGGGCATTTTAGAGAAAATCCAGTTTTTTTTGGTTTTCAGAAAGACCATAGTTTGATCACAAGCTGATGCTAGGGAGCAAAAGGTTGAAAGTTGGGGAGAGGGAGAGAGAGTGAAGAAGAAGTCAATTAAAAGAGGAGTCTCATTTCAATTAAAATTGACATTCATCTGACTATCCACTTGCCCTTACCTATTGCAAATCACCAGGGTTCACAGGTGAGAGTGTGGATTTTATCGACTCATCGATTTACGCGAATCATATGAAATGCTATCTCAATAAGTTTCTATTAATATCACAGCTCATTTAAAAAAGAACTTAATTGAAACACCAATTTGGGAAAAAGAGGTTGGTTAGGAGCAACTTTGAATCCCCAAATAGGTGGAACATCATAATTAATGGTTTATTAATGACACTTTCAAAGATTCAGGCCTTCTGACGCGACGCTTAACTGGAACCTGTACTCCCTTCACACAGCCTAACGGGAAACAATAGAAACTTGAAGCTTCAAGTGGCCCATTAGCAAATAAAATATTCCACCTTTGCTAAAGATCGGCGATTATTCAAGAGAATGTGATGGCCAATTAAGTTCTGTAAGTTCAGAAAGCAGTTGAAAGGGAGGGGAGGGGGGAAGTGAGGAAGTAGGATAGTCAATCACACCAGTTCAATTAATTTCTCTTCCATAGAAGGTCGAATGATTTTGCCCACTATTTAATCTCACCGAGATGCGTATTACTTAATTCAAGCCGAGCTCAAAAGAAAAACAATTATCAACACAAACCACTTGTGCTAATAGCTTTTCAATGATTCCCATCTTTCCGGCTCATTTTCTTTTCTGAGGGATAAGTAGGTAAATGTGGTGAATATGTGGAAGGAGGGGGGGCGGGGGCGGGGCCGGGGGGAGGAAGAAGACTCCCTGTGAATCATCATACCATACAAGAGGCAAATAAACTAACGACCTTTAGCGTCATCCCGCATCTATGTAGCAAACAGGACATGAATATGCATCCATTCCTGGATGGTATGCGCCAGCAGCTGCCGTTACTAAGCAACTTCAACTACTACTAGAAACACATAAAAGTGACTCCCTTCTGTTAGTGAATCGCCCAAGTATCATTAAGGAGGGGGTGGGGGGTGATGAATACAAGTCAGTGTACCTTAGTTTCAGCAATTCGACGTGACTTCTGCCAATCCCAGACAGTGATGGTATGATTTGCAGCCTCGTCAATAACAGCTATCATTGAGCCTCCATCCTAAAAAAGAAGAAGCAAAAAAAAAATTTGGAGATCGTCAAGAGATTGCCCTCTATCTGGTCGGGCGAAATGAGCTAGCAGTAGTGTGAACCTTACCGTCTTAGAGAAAGCGAGACAGGCAACAGAATTCTCGAAGATTCCAATACCGATGACATGAAGGGTCTCCAGGCTCACGGAATTCCAAATTCGAATGTGAGGCTTAGAATAAAAGTACCAATCAAAAGATCAGCAAACGAACTGAGAGCATTTAAACAAAGAAAAAACGCGGTTTTATGTTAACACTTAACCCCCCCCCCCTCCTCACCTTTGCATCAGACGTTCCAAGTCCCGCTGATTGTCCAGTGGCAATTGTGATTCGATCGGGGTGAATAGCAAGACTGAAATGACAAAAAAACAAAGAAGTATTGTCAGTTCCTGAGTCCTAGGACAGTCATTGACTTCTGGAAAGTACTGTGGATTGAGGCAAAACGGTGTGTGAAGCACGAACACTTTCAATCCAACTTTGTCAGACCACTAAAATATGCGTTTCAGATAAGTTATTCTTTGAGAATAGGGGAAAGATGCATCGCTGTTGATCCCATCTACTTGCTGAGAAAAGATACCAATCAAAAAAAGGTGACATGACCAACCACAGAAAATAAGTTCAGTGTGCCCGAACAGCAAGGAATGTGCGATTGACTTACCTCCACGTAGTACACCCTGGGCAACGTATACTCACAAGACAAAAATGTCGATTAACCGGCAGTTGATTCCTCATTTCAAGCTACCATGATCTCACTGTATGTCATATTCGACCCCTTCACAGTACTCATCTTACCCTTTTCTCTGCCTTTGTGTCTGTCTCTTTTACATCCGTGAATCACACTTCTGTTCCCCCTCTCGACCTTTTCTCACTTTGATGTTCCTCTTTCCCTCTGTGAAGCCCGAAATCAATTAAAGGGCTAATGATGAAAATCATAAAGCCTGTCATTTGATATAAATAAATATCCCCCACCAAAACCATTGCTACCACGTTTGAGAAGCGTAGAGAGAGAGAGAGAGGGGGAGTACGCGACTATCTTCGAAATGCAGAGAGCTACAAATTTAACCCCAGTGCAAAGAAGAGATGCCAACTGTACAAGGAGAAAATGCTAATGAAGAGGATTCAAAACTTCAAATGGTGGAAAAAATTGGCTCAAGTAGCGCTAAAGTACATTTTTAGACAAAATCTTAATTCCTACTTCGATCAATATTTACCAAAGTCTTAAACAAAGCGCGGTGAGATTTCATTGAAGCAACGATTAATTAATCGAAGAAAATCCTATTTTGGCCAAATGATTACCATTTCAAATAATTAAATTATTTTCCCTAAACAATAATAATATTATTCACAAATAAGTAGAGGACTTCATAAAAAACCAAGTTATTACAGGTCTTCACTTTAATCAACGCTGTGTCCATGGTTTGAGTAAAACTTCAATAATTTCTCGAAATGAAAACAAGAGTCTGTGTTCTCATTCTCCTTTCCTAGCAAAAATGATTCAAAAAAAGTTGAGAATACGGTCAAAAAAATATTAAAAGGTACAACATTTGCTTAACCCCTCTATTTCACGCATTATTGTCCAAGACGTTGCTTGCAAACCGCTCGATTGATTGGAATGTGTGGTGTTATTAACTTCCATTAGAGTACACACACGCATGAAAATCGCTTAAGAGAGAAGCGTTAAATTTTTATGAGATATTTTCAAACATCCAAATAATTACTACTATGAATTGCCTCTTTGCGTGCAATACAACCGAACACCATTTCACTATTGCCTTCATTTGAGTTCTGGCAGTATTAAAATGCAACGATTTGTGAAGCAGATGATGTAGATTCTTCTGGGCAAGAATCAAGGTCGTTGCTGAGTTTAGACTACGTACCGGACACGATTGCTTGGCAAAACACCTTCACAGATTGGGAGTATACACTCAACCCATATGCCCTCTATGTAACCTACAGGAGGAAATGGAGAAGACCCACCTGATTCGGTGTCCAGCCCTAAAGACAACGACGGAATGCCAGAGATACTGGGAAGCAAGAAGACAGCTAATGAATTGCTATTAATTAACTGCTATAAATCTACCTCCCCCCCACCCTTGGGGGAAGCTGAAGTCAAGTTTAAGGGCTAATGATAAATATCATAAAACCTGCCATTTGAAATAAATAA